TGAATCTGGGTCCCTAATGAGAGTGGCCAGGAGACCTTATGAGTAGAGGAGGAGCCCAGGAACTCTGTGGAGTAGGAGCCTCATGAAAACTCGCTTGTGCCCTGAGCACACAGAAAGGGCACTGGAGGACACAGAGTGCAGATGGCCATCTGAAGGCAGTAAGACAGCCCTTACCAGAAACCAAACTTGCCAGCACCTTGATCATGACTTCTAGCCTCCAGAACTGGGAAGTAAATGAATGTCTATTGTTTATGCCAAACACCTGCTGTGGATTTTTGTTACAAAAGTCAGAGAAAATTAACATAATGGAAAACATTCAGAGTCCAGAACATAAAGCTCTGTAACTCAGAGCATAAAGCTGCCTTGGGTCTCTCTGGTGGAGAAGAGGACAGGAACCCAAAGTCAGGACTTTATAAGGCCCCCCTGAATAAAGCAGGCTGGCTGGAGCTGGAAGGCAATCTGTCTGCCTCTTACTTCCCATTGCTATGCTGTGGGTGAACTAGAGGCTGAGTCAAGGTGGACCTTGAAACTGAGTTAGAAAACAAAACTTCTGCTGAGGCTCTGTACCCAGAAGTGGGTCTCCACAGGGGTTCAGGCCTTCATGTCATTGGGTAGTTTAAAATCTTTATACTAAGAAGTTAGTTTGAGAGGGTTAGGCTGACCCTGCTCTAGCACAAGGCAGAAGCAAATGTACATTTTCTCTGGAAGCAGCTACCATCTCTACCACCATCTACCCAGGTGTCTAAGAATCTCCACAGTTTATGACCAAAGATACCCCAAAGTAAAAAAATTACACAGCAAGGAAGAGAACATATTATTGGGAGACATGAAAGGGAAAAACAGACCATAGAATCATACCAGCAAAGACTTCAGATACTGGCATTAACTCAAAATGGAAAATCATTATGTTTTATATAATCAAGAAATTAAGCAAAGATCTATGGTTAAAGAGTAAGGGACTATAAAATATGACCAAGAACATTTGACAAAGAATAAAGTAGGACTTAAGAGATGAAAAATTACAGTTGAAACTAAAATAAATCTTCAGCAACTAAATTTAGCAAATGTTAGATGTAGCTGAATAGAGAATAAGTGAATGGGAAGAGAGAGGAGAGAAAACATAAGAGGAGCTATGAAACAGAAAACAAGATGAGAAAGATAAGACTTCTGGGAGAAGAGAAAGAATAAAAGAAAAGCAGCATTTTCACACACTGATGAAAATCACCACTGATACAGTTGAAAAGATTAATGAATTTAAGAAGAATGAATTAAAAAAAAAAACCTACACCTAGACCTGCCAGTGAAACTGTAGAATATAGGGGACAAAGAACGGCGTGGAAATGCACTCATCACCCAAAGGACTGACAGAGACAATGGGAGCTGGACGATGTTGGAACAACATCTCCACGTGCATAGAACATTACCATCAGCCCAGTCAAATATCCAGGGAACACTGGTGTTCTTTCAAGAATGAGGTAGATGGTAGGGGGAGCTTTAAGTAATGAGAATTGAGAAAGCTTGCCATCAACAACAAAAAAACAAAAACAAAACCCCCCCAAAAAACAAAACTTCAAAATCATGTGCTTTGAGCAGTAAGGATATTCCCAAGAGTAGGACAGATATGGAAAAAAGAATGACAGACAAAAAAAAAAAACCCTGGTAAATATGTGACTGTCTGAATAGACATTAGCTTCATTAAACAAAACTATAATTTGTGAAGAGTGCAGTAGCATGAAAATATACACATATACATATACGCATACGAATACACACATCTCATAGTATAGTGGGAAATTAAGGTCATGGTGTGTAAAAATCCTTGAATTTTTCAGGAAAACACAAAATTAATGTTGAATTATACATATTAATATTTCTAGGATATTTTTATTGTAACCCTGAAAGAAGAGAAATAATGTGCTGAGTTCTCTAATGAAGAGACTGGATTTAAAAAAAAATCCAGCCATACTGGATGCTGGTGTCTCACATTTGTAATCCTAGCTATTAAGGAAGCTGAGATTTGAGGATTGAGATTCAAAGCCAGCACAGGAGAAAAAAGGACATAGTACCCTTATCTCCAATTAATCATCAAAAAATCCAGAACTGGAGGTGTGACTCAAGGAGTAAAGAAACAGCTTGGAGTGAATCAAGTCAGCGCAAGGCCCTGAGTTCAAACCCCAGTAGCAGCAAACACACACACACACACACACACACACACACACACACACACACACACACACACACCAATTAAAAAAAACACTAAGTTATCCAGCCATGCACAAAGCACATATAAAGCATAAGGAAGCAAAGAGATCATAGTAAGAGAATAGCAAAGATTTATTAAGGATCACAAGAAATGAATGTAGCAGCTATTTGGAAAAAAATCTTTAATGTGAAAAATATTACCATAGATAAAAGAGGACCAGCTGAAATAATAGGAAAATATATAATTTTCAACTTATATGTCCTAGTAAGAGTCTCAAAATATATAATGTAAAAGTCAGCAGAACTTCCAAAGACTAAGAGACAAATGTGCTATTACAGTGGTAGGTTTTAATACTCCTCCTTCTGAAATGGATAGATCAAGAAGACAAAAATCAGTGACCATAGAAAAGATATAAAAGTACTTCTTTAACAAGTTAATATATATGATGAATGTATATATACACACACATGTATACTATAACTATTTATACAAAGCTACAAAATACCCCATGTTTTGTCAAGTATGTATAAAATACAGGTGAAAATGACCATTTCTGCTCCAAAAAGAACATCCCAATAAAGTCCTATTTATATAAAATAAACAGGGTTCTATAACTACCAGCTTTATAATCACTAACAGAAAGAGAAATTCATTGTTGGGAAACTCATATGTACTTCTAAACCATTCATGGCTGAAAGATGAAGCAGTGATGGAAATTGAAAAAAATATGCCCCCCCAGGGCTGGAGAGGATGAACCTCAGCTCTGAGAAAATGTAAGTAAAATTCAGGGGGAAATAAACACTTTAATAGAAGTACTGTGTATAAAAATCTGTAGTGCTTGGTGTGGTGTTTTACTCAAGGAGCTGAGATTTGGAGGATCATAGTTCTAATTCATGAGACTCCATCTTAACAAATAAAACAAACCTGGGTGTAGTGAACCATGCTTATTATCTTAGCTATTTGGAAAGTCTAGGAAGGAATATCATAGTCCAGGCTAGCCAGGTCATAAATGTGAAATCTTATTTAAAAATAACTGATATATAAAAGGGCTGGTGGCCTGACTTGAGTAGTAGTAAAGTGCCTTCCTGAGTCCCTGTAAGCACCAAAGAAAGAAAAAAGAAAAAAAAAGGTCAAGAAGTATAGTCAAGGTAGTTCTCAGAGGAAAATGTGTAGTTTTAGCTGTTTAAATAGGATTAAAAAATGATGGCTTGAGTATGCAAAATTAAGATGCTAGAGGAAGAAAAACCCAAATGACCCAGAAGGAAGGAAATAATAAAAAGCAGAAAGCATGAAAATAATTATAAGGTACAGCAACTAGTTCATTGAAAAGACTAACAAATGTGCAAGTTCTAACAATACTGATATAAAAAATGAGAAATTAAAAAGGAAAGAGAAACACACTAATAGTAAGAATCATAAATCTGGAATAGTATGTACAACTTTATTCTAGTTGTGAAAACATAGTAAAATGTACTCAAGTCAATTTTCAGATGGCCTAAACTATCTTTTAGTCATTACATTTATTAAGCATACAGTCTAAATCTTCCAACAAAGAAAACACCAGAGTAAGACAGTTCTGCTGAAAAATTCCACCAAACTATCAAGGCCAAAGTTGTGCAATTACAAGCTTTTTAATCACTATCAGCAGGGTAGAGAAATTCAGTGTCTGGAAAATCAAATGCATTTCTAAACCATTAATGGCTGAAAGATGAAGCAGTGATGGAAACTGAAAAAAAAATATTCACCCTAGGTATGGGAAGGCAGCTTAGGGACAGCACATAAAATAATGCCTACCATCAATGACTTGACCGTACTACAACTCTACTATTATGAGTGAGGCAAGAAAGTGAAAGGTACACTGATAGGAAAGGAAGAAACAAAATGATCATCCTTTGAAGCTAGTAACTTATCTATATAGACATAAAGAAATCAAAAAGATGTAATATATACAAATCAAAATACAAAATCACATCTCTAAGTAACATCAAGAAACAAGTAGGAGACACAGTTAAAAATATATGACTTATAATAGCAATAAGACATATAGCTATTTAGAAATAAACATATATGGCATTTGTAATGGCAAAACAAAATTGTAGAAGCTAATCAAAGCCATGAATGAAGCTCTACGCAAGCAGAGACGTATATGAAAATCATAGACTAAGTATCATAAAGATGTATGTTCTCCAATTGATTTGTAGTTTAGATATAATTGAAGATGAAGATTCAAATAGTTTGTTGTAGACCTTGCTGTAAAACTTGAAAGCGAGAACAAAAGATACAGAAACAAACAACAACAACAAAACTAAAGAGGAAATAAAGATGTTACAAAGATACACATAATAGTGTAAAACTATACACACCACAGAGTGAATCTGATTTAGAATACAGTACATACAACATGATTATATTTATATGAAGCACAACTATGTGCAACCGACACATGTTTAGGGTTATGAAGATAAATGGGAAATAAAATGGAAAGTGAAGGTAGTACATCAGTGGTAGTTGTTAACTTGGATCGCACATAGAATAGAATAAACATACATCACTGAGGTCACTATGTTTCCTTTTTCCCTTTCCCAGGTGATGGGTACATGGGTGTTTACTTTATTGGCAACACTACTATACCTTGGTAATATTTTATAAATATGTTTTTATTTCTTTACTTTTAATAAAAGCCATTTTAAAGGAATGGTCTTCACAGAAGCTACAGCACCAGGTAGGGTTTGAAAAACTCTGTAGATGAATTACCCCCAAGCTGCCCACAGGACCCTCCCCATCCATCCCAGCTTACCTTGGCAGGGTTGAGCGCTGTGATGATCCACACACAGTGTGCATTGTTGTCATACTGAATGGGGAAATTGGGGGAGGTGATGATGCCTGAGGGGCCTCGAAGGTGGGCATCACACATTCGAGCTATAGAGAGGAGATAAGACATGCCTTTCAGTTTAGACCACCTCTGGTTCCCATTCCTACCTCTTCTCTAAGCCCATAGGAGACAGAATGTGTCCAGCCTCACTGCAGGAAGTGACCTGCCTCCTTCTTCCTTCCCTTACAGCTCCCAGCATGCTCAGTGGGAATTCACAATGCCTGGAGCACAGGGATAGAGCAGGCAGGTCTATATACCCTGCCCTGATGTCCTATTGTGAGTTTCCAAGGAGAGCTAAGGAATCCCTTAAGCCAATGCCCCACCTCCCATACCCAGAACTCTACCCTCACACTCCCAACTCCATCGCAATAAAGCAGCTGTCTTCACCAACAGGGTTTAGACACCACCATTCATTCACCCCTGCCTTACAACTAGGTGGGTCTCAGGTGCCTACAGACCTGCTAAGCAGCCTGTTCCTTGCTCTGCTAACCTGCTTCTGCTTCCCTGTTTGTACTCCTCTATCTGCCAGCCCAGGAGTCTGACCTCTTGCCAGTTCAGTCCCTTCCTCTACAGCCTCACAAGCCTCCTTAAGGAGAATCTCAGGACGTCCTTGTCAAAGCCACCCCTTGGGATTCCCAAATTCTTGGGACCAATGAAATCACCAAGGCTTCAACTCAGCAACCAGGACTAGCAACCAGGATGATACTGTGCTATTCCAGTGTTTCCCATATCCTTCTCCACAAGCTGCTCATGCCTGAAACAGGCTTTTGACTGGAAGCATGAAGACTTAAGGTGAATTAGAAGAGGTGCTCTACTCAAGTAGATATAAAGTGTTATCAATCACAGCTTAATCTAATTAAGCTCTTTAAAATAGCTTCTAAACTAATTAGATTAAGTAGTGATTGATCACAGTTAAGGTACTACATTGTATTTAGGTGTTTGCTTCCTTTAAAGAACTCCTGTTCCTGTCCTAGCCACTTCATTCTTCAATGTTAGTGAGCAGTTCTTTTAATAAAGGGCTCCATGAGTCTCCTGTTGCTGCCCACATGGCAATTTATCCTAATAGTAGGCCAAGTAAAGAAAGAGTAAGCAAACCCAACGGGCCTAAGTATATAAAATGAAATGCATGTCAAACCTGGTTTCTGCTGATGAACCCAAATACCTTGGAAGCGCCTCTCCACTTGGCGACAAAGCTATGGCAAACTTTTTTCCCCAAGAGCCCTGTCCAGGAGGGTCTGGGAAGCAGGCTTCACAGCTCCTGGACCTCTTCTTACTTCAGGCACTTGTTCCTACACTTATTCATTCATTCTAACACTTCTGAAGTGCCTAATATGGCCAGGAAGAACATGGAAAGAGAAAAATGTCTGGGCTTCATTTACCTGAACTGCCCTGGCCAGAGCAGAGGCAAGCCTGAGGCCATCCATGACCAAGCACAGACAGTGTTTACCTGAACTGCCCTGGCCAGAGCAGAGGCAAGCCTGAGGCCATCCATGACCAAGCACAGACAGTGTGCCACAGGGGTATTTACAAGGGGCTTTGCGTCAGAATTGTTCTCTCCTGTTTTTTGTTCACTACCTTTTAAGAGAGGATCATTCTGGTGTCTGAACCTTCAGGATCCTTTTCTTCCCCTATCCTGAGCTCCAATATTGATGGAATGGAGTTTTGACATGCTCCCTAACTTACCTCAGATTCAACTGGTTGCTCCACTAATTCTGTGCTGAGAAACCCAGGATTATAGAGCCATAGATCATGCTGATCTATCTGGGTCCTCAGGGGGTGTGGCATTGTTAAGGCTTACCAATTTAGCCTCCTGGGTTTTAAATCTACCTAGTGTTAGTTGGAAAACATCTCAGATATTATTCTTCATTTGGCAAATCGTGAGAATGATAGCACCTCACTGACGTGTGGTGGTGATGGGATTTCATGAAATGATGGATGGGCAGACTCAGTCCAAAGCCTAAGACAGTGTCAATATTCAACAAAAGGGGTCCCAGGCTCAATGCTATCTTCACTCCTATTCTCTGGGCTCAATATTTCTCTCAAGGTAAAGGAGCTTCTTTGCATATGCTTTTCCCTCTGTTTGCATTTAAGTCTGACATTACCAAAAAAATGAGGATATGACTTCAAACACCAAACCTTTGCAAAGAGGAGCTGCAGACCCAAGTTTCTAGTCCTGCAGAGAATCCTTATAAATCTCCACCAGCTGCACTTTCCAGATTCTAGAAAGTTAAGATTTTGCTGCCAAAACCCTCAGCTTCAGATTCAACTTATCCTGAACTTGTTTCCAAGAATTAGATGGTATTTGCAGTCTGTTGAGACATGCTGGAGGTAATTAGAGAGAACAGGTCAAAAAGGCATTTACCACTTTAAGGGCTTGGAAGGGTTTAATTAAAATATTACAATCTGCAGATTGTTAGCCCAGAGTACCTTAAAATAGGTTCTGAGTGGAGCATTAGCTACTTTTTTTTTCCCCACTGCTGTCTGGGCAAGAAAACGGATGCTGAAGACAGAGACTCCCTCACACTCCTACCTTCCCCGCATCAGTTTGTGGAACCCCATCAACTGATGGAGAGCTCTTTGCTGCAACCCACAAAAGCTGAGAACATGGGAGGTGCTCAGACATGGTATGAATGAATGAATACATGTACACATCTCCGAGTTTCTCTATTTGCCCTTTCCTATCAGGGTCTCTTAGATAGCTTTCAGGAGAGACTTCTCTGAGTCCTTCTATGTTTGGGTTCTGTGAGACTTCCCATTTCTCCTGTGGACATGACTGGGCCATGCCACAGGAGACTGTGTCCCACAGAACCACAGCAATGCCCATGGATCCACAGCCAGTTCTGGCAATGAAGCAGCTTGGTACCAAAGAAGGGAATGTTCCATGTGTTAGAGGCATGCAAGTACCTCCCATCTCCTAGCTTCTCCCCAAATCATTTCTACCACAATGCAGGTTGCCTCCTCTTCCTTCTCGAACAACTGACCTCCCTAGTTCCCTGCCTGTGGTCCTTTGGAACCATCTTCCCACCACTCATTCTAAGGTGAACAAACCTACTTGTATTTGCCACATCTCCAGAACTCCTTGCTCCAATTCCTACCTCTAAAGAAACCAGTCCCTCCCTCCCCAGGCTACTCTGCAGTGGAAAATCCTGTCCCCCAACCTCTAGTCAACACTTCTTTACACAAAGGTTCATTGAAGCCCAGAACTCATATTCAATCCACTAACACTAAATATTGGTGTCTGAGTTCTGTCTTTATCCAACTTAGACACACCAAGGCTCCTAAGTCTGAGCACTTTCTGGCAAATTCTCCCCAAGTAACTTCTTTTTCCTCTAATAAGCTGCCTTGAAGACACTTGAAGACACATAGTTATTGTCCCATGTCTCCTAAGAAAGTATGAACATGGAAGCACTTTGCGTAATGCTTCATATGAGCATAAATAGCTTAATAAATGTGAGATGTGTCATTAGAATATGTAGGTAAGGGACTTATGGACAATATTGGGGATGGGGCATGTATTTCAGTGCCATTAGTCATCCCTACCAAGTGGACAGAAAAGATGGGATAGAAGAGGAAAGAGATGAGAAGAAAAAAAGAGAGGAGGGGATGGAAAGGGAATGGAGGGGAGAGAAGAGATAAGAGAGGAGAGGAACGGAGGAGAAAAAGGGAAAGGGGATAAGAAGGGAGGGAAGAAAAGAGAAGAGGAGACAACAGGAGGAGGGAAAAGGAGAGGAGAGAAGTGAGAATAGATGGCAGGAGAGGGCAGAAGAGGAGAGAGAGAAAGAGAAAATGTAGACAACAATAGCATTTAAAGGGGAAGGTACAGGATGTCAGCCTGGTGAAGGCCACCAAGTAGGAAAACAATCACCTATACTGGTCTTAGCATTTCACCAACCAAGTTTGTGTCCATGTTTTCATGTCCTACTCCCATTTCATAGACCAGAAAGATTCAGAGTTTTTCAATTACGGATTCTGTGTCCTATGGTTTATTAATAACAAAGGTGGACCTTGAACTTAGGTCTCTGAACCCCATGTCTTCCATAAGAAAGAAGTATCTTCCAGATGACAATACCACATACACACACAGTCATATTTAACTACGAAGCAAAAAGATAATATATGGGTTTGCGTTAATTACTGACCTTGTAAACAAGTATCTGTAAGTACCTTATCTGGGGCTGGTTTTTGTCTTCTTTGTTAAACCAGTGGTTTGCCAACCATGAACCAAGAGCTCAGTGTTACCTGGGTAGAGGGCCTGCTGACAGTGATGAGAAAAGGCGGAGAGGGACCCAAGTCTCCTGCCTCTACTTCAACCAGAGAAGCTCCACTTGTATTATTTTATTGACCAGGCTTCTGCAAAAGCGTATGAGCAAGCACTGGGCACCATAGGAAAACCCTGCATTGTACCATCCGGCCTCTGCCTAGGGCTGTAACAGAATGAGTGCTCTAGTGCTCTGCATCACCAAACGTTATGTTGGAAGCTTATTTCTTCTGATGGGAGATAAAGAAAAGGAAGGGCCACGTGTACCTAATTTTATATTCCAAACTGAGGGTGTGGTTCCATATCCATTCATTTCCATTTCTGATTCATTCAGGTGGCCCTCATTTATTGAGAACCTCTCATTTGCCAGGCCTCACATTTTAGGAGAATTAATTGTGTGAGGAAAAATGAATACTTAAAACCAAATCATATTTTAAATGCATTAGAGGAAAAAATAATACCACTCTGTATGGTGGCCAAATGCTTTTTAGAAGGTGATCTTTTGGTAACCTGCCTTTCAGTAGAGCAACTTATAATTGAAAGACTTTTGTTCCTTTTTATTGCTTAAATGGGGGTCTGCCTAAGTTCTCCTATGAAAATCACAATTAGAAGAGATTCCATTTAATTAAAAACAAAAAAAATTAAAGAAAAACATTAATGGCTACCAAAATGAAGAGACCTTTGTATCTAATAGGGAGCTCAGCCCTTGGCCTGTAGGGAAGCTCAGGACAGATCAGCCAAGTCCAACCCAGGAGCCTTGGCCTTTTGTCTGTCTGTCTCATAGCGGCTTGTGGGAGCAAAGTGACAGAAGGATGGAGGGCAGGAGGGCCAAGCTGTGCTGAGAGGCCAAAGATCACCAGTGGATGCCTGTGCCTGAGCTGCTGCTGGCAATCTGCAACATGACCGTTTACACATTACGTCAGCAGGTTGAGCAGGCTTTCTGTTCTCCCTTCACTAACAAGGCCAAGGCCCTGGCATCTAAAAAAGATCAGAAGCCTTCCTGGGCCAGCCAGCTAATAAATGGCAAAACTGTGGTCCAGATTGGTCTATTGACTCCTAAGCCATGGGATGGCCATAGAATTAGATAGACAATGGTTTCTGGGAGAACCCATAGCCTCTAGAAGCTGCAGTTGGCTCTGTGGTTTAAGCTAGATACCACATATGCAGCAATTTAAGCTGAATAGCATGAATGGCAGCATCGTAGGTTACATGAACATCACTTCTACAGGTCTGGGTCACTTTCAAGTTCACTGGCTCCTCTGGTTCTTAAAATGATGTCACCAAGTAGTATCCTAGTATTACTTCAATTTAGCAGATGAGAAAACAAAGAGAGGAGAGAGCTCCAGAGAAGAAACTGACCTAAAGATACTTGGCTAAAATATGATGATGGCGGGATTTGAACTGTGATTTTCCCCATCCCTACCCTCTTCCCCAGTGGCAGATGATAGAATATGATAACAGATTAAAAAAATAAACTTAGCTCAATGCTTAGTGGAAGTATAGCAGAGAATTCAGTCTACTGGGTCAAAATTACTTGGAGATAGTCTGCGTGAGGCATACAATATATTTAGAGAAAAAGAAGAGTATATTATTCAATGATGACCTTCCTTCCAAAATACGACAGTACTTCCTCCACCCTAGGCATGTTCATGTTAACAGCTACTATTACTAAAAACAATTTCTTCAGAGGAGAAGGTCTTGATGAGTGGGATCAGATTCTACCACTGCCTAAAGGCACTGCTGTTCTTGCTTCTTGAAAGGAATTTTGAAAGGACAGATTGGCTAGGGATCCCTTTGTCCTCAGACTGTATAATTCTAAGTTTCTCTACAAGGCTGACGGCTTGGCTCAGAGAGGTATGCTCTTCAATTATTCATTCATTTAATCACTCATTCAACACATTATTAAAGCACTACCATGTGTCAGGCCCTGTTCTAAGTATGACTGAAGTGAAGTCCTCACCCTGTACAACTCATATTCCAACTCCAAGACATCTTTCTTCCTTCTAATACTTGCCAATTCATAAAATGTTGACATATCCACAACTGTATACAATCTTCATATTGAAAATGAGAAGTGTAGGGTAGGTACAATTAACTACATTTGTAGGTAAGAAAATAGGGCCAGGGAAAATAAATGCTTTGCCCAATTGCTTAGAATAACACTAAGAATTCTTTTGTTTGCTTGATTACAAAAAATAACATTTTCTCTGTAGAATCCTGGAATAATGCAGTTAATATGAACAGAAATGTAAGTTTCCTTATAAACCACAAATCACGGACACTTCAAAATTAGGTTGAGGACAAATAAATCTAAAGCTTATTTGAATGATATTTTCATGATCCTCTGGAATTCCAGATTCCCTATTGGTACATTTTTAAAAGGGAGCAAGTTCCAGCTCTAACACTGTACATTTGTCAATACAATAATGATCTGTTCTCTTTCCTGGACTGTTCTTACTCTGCATGAATTTCATCTTGATGTATGTCCTTAGAGGAAGGCAAGGAATTTGCTTAGTTGGAAGGATCCAGAATGCAACTTTAGAGTAGGTGATATACCTTCTTTAGCTTTTTAAGGGTAAGGCCATCTAACAGCCTGGTGCTTGAGTGGTGTCTCTTTGCTCATGCCCAGGGGAATGGGAATGGGGATTCTCCACTGAAGCTGCTGCAGAAGCAGCTGCAGTCTGGCCTCAATGAAGAGTTACATTTAGGCTCTGCTTTCTAATTGTCTGGAGGGGGTAGTGGAGGCAAAGCCAGTTTATCTTTGGTTTATGTACTACGTGGAAATGTGAGTGGCAGGGGCCTTGAGAACAAGATGCCCAAGTATGAGATAGGAAGAAATCCACAGAGAAGTCTTTTGACCTGTTGGCCCAGGACATTGTAAAGTGTGAGCCAAGAACCAAGGGCAGCCAGGTACTAGTGACTCATGTCTGAAATCCTAGCTATTCAAGAGGCTGAGATTGGAATGTGGTTTAAAGCCAGCTCTAATTAATTCAAGAGCTCTGTCTATCTATCTATAGATAGTGTATAAAACATCTATAAATGGATAGATACATATTTATCTATAGACACACACATATATGAGTACATGTATACATACACACATATATACATGCATACATACATGTGTATGCGTATGTGTCTGTGTTCTAATGGAGGGACTCAAGGTGACAGTATAAAGGGTGGTTTCCTTTCCTATTTAGGTGGCTGTAATGTTTTTGTGCAACAAGTTAGTAACCTGCTTCATGGATACCTCTCTCATCAGACTGTGGAGTTCATGCAGGAAAGAGTCAAGGTCTCTCTACCTGTATGTTCTCATCCTGGTCAAGGAATTTATATAGAGAATATGTCAAATCAATGTCAGCCAAGAAACACAGGACATGAGGACTGAGGAGCAATGAGGGAGCAAGGTGAGTCAGCTTGAATAGGAGTCTAGGCTTCAGGTTATAGGAGCAGGTTTTGATCTGCATGCCCAGCCCTTCTCTGGGGCACCCTTACCTCGGCAGACTGGCCTGTGGTCGCTCCAGGCTGCAAACATGTCGCTCACTTTCATACAGGTGATCCGCTTGGACCCTTGCAGGTCGTAGCCCTCGTTGCAGGTAAACTGGACACTGGATCCTAACCTGGGAGACAAGGGATGTCTGTGAGCCCCAGCCCTGCCTGCACCAAGTCCTTCCTGATTCCTCAAACTAGCCCCATGGGGATTATTATTTCTGCTTCTGACCTTTAATCTCTGCTTACTGCTTAGGATTTAAATCCTCCACGAAAATTCAGAGCATCTGCAGATGCTCTTCATAGAGCATCTGCTCTTCATCTTCTCTTTTCTTTGGATCACTAATGGTTTTTGGATTGAGTTAAAAGGTGACTTTGTGAGCAAATAGCAATTCTCTAAGATAAGTATCAATTAGGGCAGTGAAGAGTAGGTAAATGATATCCATAAATGATGTGAAAATGGAGGATTATGGGGAGATGCCTTAATAGTTTGAAACATTGCAAAACACATCCTCTTCCAGGGTCCTAGGGCTCCTAGATGATAGCAGGAGTGAGCTGCCTGCTAATACGTCAGCCCTTTCATCCCTGGCTATCTAGGTTTTCTGGGTAACTCTGGAAGTTTTCAGTATACTTTCACTCCCAGATATGGTATGGGCATCTTTCCAAGCACTGGATCAGGAGAGATAATCAAAGACCACGGGTCTTTCCCAGCCAGGGGCACTTCCTGTCTCCATACCGTGCTCTTCATATCCTATCAAAAAGTCTACTCCCTGTCCTCCCCACAACCAGGCCACCCCACCCTTGTTGCAATCAGAAAAAGTTGTCACATAGCTCTTACCTGAAATCTGTGCCTAGTCTTTTGCCCCTTTCAGGTATGCCAGGGTCTGGACACATATTATGTCCTTGGGACACACCAACCTGAGTTACTACAAGGCAAAAAGACAGCACATACAATGATGGATAGTCACAGGAAGACATCAGCCAGTACTGTGTTTCAGGGTGGGAGGTGGAGGCAGAGACGGAATGAGACCCTGCTCCACTGGGACTCTGTGGAGTGACTGGAGACGACTGGACTGGACTTTCCTAAGAATGCAAGGTGGGGAGCTGCTCTTGACAACCCGAAACCCCACATCCAAATGAAATTCAGTGAGACTTCCCGACCCCATGGCACTCCTCATTCCTCATCCCACACCAGTGGCCAGCGGTAAACCGTCCATAGCCCCTTGTGACCTCCTCACCCTGTGCTTCAGATTCGGGAGTGGAGACTAGATGAGATGAACCCCTCCAGCCCCAATCCCGAATGGAGAGATGATTCAAAGAAAGTTAAATAAAAGGTGGATACATGATCAGAAACGGTAAAGAATGTAAAAGAAAGCTGCAGTTTGAAGTTCAAAGCAGGGACTTTAGCTCAAATGCAGATGTTTCTTTTGAAGACCCTCTTCCCATCAGACACTTGTCAAGTCAGAATAAGCGGTAACTGGAGCACACCTTCCACATTCCACCCAACGCAGAGGCCCAAGGGCACAGAGCAGAGATGGCGACTGTGGTTCTGGCAGGAGGTTTGAAGCTCTCGCACCCAACAACAACAGATCCCATTCATTTATAAACACCACACAACTAGTTGTATAGGGCAGAGCAGAGCTTGGTTCTGGGGCGGCGGATACACACATACAGTGCAGAGGGTGGGCCCTCCATTCCCTGCCTGGCCATTGTTCTCAGATGCTCCTGCTAATGGAATCAATCCTTCACATCTCTAGATTCCTGGCTTGGAGGGTGGCCAGGAGCTGGGGCTAGGGCGGTGGCCTGACAAGAGTTCCATTCCAGGACTCACCAGTCCCATGATCCCAATAGCAAAATCTGGATGAGGGCTTACATGGCATCTGCAGCAACAGTTCTTGAACTTACCCACATCCCTCCCCTTCCACTCTATGTCCCATAATGTGAGCAAAGTTCTCCATCACCCATTCTTGCTCTCTCTCACGCATTCCTTCACATGGGCACAAAACAATAATTCATTGAATACCTATTGCATACAATGCCTTCTTCTGGAAAACATGGGAAATGTCAAGGGTAGATAGGATCACTGTCTTCAGGGAAGGAATGAAATATGGAAAGGATCATGGAAGGGAAGTGATGAAGGATACTGGTACAGAGACGCTTAGAGGAAGACCCCTCCTGTGGTGCTGGAAGAAATATGAAAGGGCCCAGAGGAGATCACACTCAATGTGGACCTTGTGAAGAGGTAGGATTTGGGCACATGGGGACAGAGGGACAAAGGCAGACAGTCAGCCATGAAAAGTGAGATGGAGACATAGAAACGGAACTTAGGGTTGCTCAGTGTGGCCATGGCCAGAGTAGGAGGGATAAGGAATTGGAAGATGAGGTTTCAGAGATCAGACGCAATATTAAGGAGGTTGAGTCTGATCCTGAACACCGTAGACAGTCATTGGAGAGTTCTGAGTGGCAGAAGGGCTGGTGAGACTTACAGGGTGAGGCTCCTCAGTGAGGACAGTTAGGAAGTTCTGCAATGGTTCAGGTCAAGGACAAGCCTATTAGTGGAAAGCTAGGAGACAGGCATGAACATGGGAAAGAGAACCACCAGGGCTCGTGAAGACTAGGTCACTAGGAGGAGCATGGGGGCGTCCTGGGCCTGGGCCCAGAAAGGATGCAATGGTTGATGGTGTAGTGAAGATAGACAGTCCCATTCTGGATTCGCTGAGTCTGAAGCTCATGTCTATAGATAGAGGCCAAGTGTAGACCTGCTTCAAACTCTTGGTAGCCTAGGTTACAGCTGACCAAGGGAACCTGAAGGTTTGGATAGAATGCATGTTCCAATCAGACAACAGGTATCCTGTTGATTGTATGGCAGTGTGTGCAATTCCTCCTGGGTAGCCTCCCTTTTTCCAATACTCCCCACTGCCAGGAAAAAGCAGGTCACTTCCACTGGATCTTTACCGTCCCCATCCCCTTCCTTTCCAAGCCTCTAGCTCCAAAGTTTTCACATCCTTTATGTAACAAAGCCACCATTCCTATCAAGCCAGAAACCTTCAGGGTAGACATTCACAGATCCAAAGCACAGTGGGCTTCTGCTTCCCAGGAGCCTTGGTGTTTTGCAAGTAAAGGTAGGAAGAAGGTAAATGGGGCCTTCAGAATACCCAGGGGCATAGGAACCACGGACCATCTTTTCAGATAGGAAATTATCCTAAGAAGGAAGGGAAGATGACCCTGTATTGTCCTTTCTGGTTTCTCTATTGATAGGCCAGCCCTCTATGCTGCCTTGATGGTCCATTTCCACCGTGGACTTCCCAGCTGCACATCCACACCGCCCGCTCCCACCACACACATACAACATCCTCCCCAGTTCCTACTTACTTAACTGTTCATGGTCCTCACCCAACCCAAGTTTTCCTGCAGACCACCATGTGGAAACCACCCAATCGCTTTCCAGAACAATGATGAGAATATACAGCAGCTTCCACTGGCCTCTCTGGCCCTTTCATTCAATACCAACACCATCCAGGGAGCAGGCAGAACAGACAGCTGATTGGTCATGTTGAGGCTGGGCCAGAGGGCAGGCACATGGCAATGCCCACCTGTTGAGCCAGTCCCAGCCCTGAGAACAGATCCACTGTTTCCTTTTAGTTAGTGAGCCTGCACCTGTCCACAAGTCTCAGGCATCCTTCAGGAAATCACAAACCTAGTGGTGACGCAGCTCATACCAGGCCAGTGCCCTGTCCCTGGGCAGGCAATTGCAGTCCCAAGAGGACCCTGGAGTATCCCTAGGAAATAAGCAAGCCTCAATCCTAGTGAGCACTTTAGAATTACAGCAGCAAGGGTTCTTCTTCCTTTCTCCTTCCAGTATTTAACACTAGCTGCTCGTGTTCATAGCATTGTTTTGCTGTTGGCTACTGGGAGATGAGAGCAGAGTGGAACCCCTGCCTGCCCCCAGGAGGCCCCCAATGGCAAGGTGTAACATGCTCAGAGAGGTGATGTCTTCCACCCAAAGTAAAGAGAGGCACAGATAGGTGGGTGGCCAGGAGTGACAGTCAGGGAATCCATGGTTTTTGTGGACTGTCCAGTAGAGGCAACTGACAAGGTCTGCTCCTGGAGTCCAGGACAGCTATCCTCAGAGGATGTGGGCACAACACAAAGACTCAGACACTTATATGCATTTGACTCCCTGCCTCTGGTTAGCGGAAGTCATACCTACCCCTTCCTGAAGAAATCTTACAATGCAGATCAATCAATACCTTGTTGGGAGAAAAAGGGTTTCCATTACTTCCTTACAATAGGGTTTCTTCATCTTTTGTGAGGGTGTTTTGGGCATCTTTGAGTGGGTAACAAAAACCATGGACTTTCTATGAAAAAATGAAAACCATGGACTTTACAGAAAAATGCATCCCAAACATTACATGAAGTTTTTCAACTATTTGTCATTCCTCTGGAAATCCTGGGTCATGATGGCCCTTCTTACATACAGCAACTTCCTTAGGAGGAAGGCAGGCTAGGACTTCCCCATTCTACGGAAGTCAAAACTGAGACTTAGAAGGTCTGAATAACAAAAAGACCCAAGACAGGATACAACTGTGATAAATTTTTGGTCTTTAGCTTGTGACTTCCAGGTAAGGTATAAAATTAAGGCTTATTCCCATTCGTCTTTCTCTGTGGCTACAGAAAGAAAGATTATGAGGGTCAGGTTGCAAGTGCACATTCCCAGGCAAGCCTTGGGCTCACCTACAGCTTCTCCCTCAGTCAAGCTAGGCCTCCCAGCTGTCTTCTGTCATTCAGAGCCCATGGGACAAGGCCACCAGAGATGCTGAATCCCCCAGCTATAGCCAGAAATCAGTGGCAATATCTGCACTCAGAGGACTTGAAAGACCAGAGCATGTCCCCACACTTAGGCTCATTATGGTCAGGGACAGGCCTCCAATGCCTCTGCCCCTAGTCTGCTCATCTGACAGGTGCCCCACTCATGAGCCAAGAGCTTGGGGAGCCCATGGCCATGGTCTGTTCTCAGAAAGTACTTTTAGCAACTGAAGGCAAGTGAGTACAGGGAGGTGTAGTAGAGGGCAGGGAGCCAGGCAGATACAGAAAGAGAAACACAGGAAAAGGAAATAGGTGAAGGAAGAAGGAGAGGGGGGAAGTGGAGGGAGGGGGATAGATAGGGGAAGTAGGACAGGGATGGGAAGGAAACCCAGAAGGACAGTCATCTGGGGGACCAGGGCAGGTTCCCTGTACTCACTTCCAGAAGGAAAATCAAAGAGACCCCCAATCTCCCCTATGTTCAAGTCCAGCCTCCTTGGCGGGGGACCCAGAACATTCCCTACCCACTTCCTGTCCTCTCACTCCAAGCCCTTCAGCACAGCTCTCATTGGGGGTCAACATTCCAAACCATATTCCAGTCATAGACCCCTTTCATTCTTCCAAACACAGGTAGCAGAAACATGTTTTCAAAGACATAATCTTCCCATGCCCAAGCAACACCCAGCATTTCCCCACCCTTCCCCATCCCATCCCACCCTCGAGAGGCAGGACCACCACCCCTGAATCCTCTCTCTGTCCAGCCAGGTCCAGAGCCCCTGGAGGACGTTAGTAGGCCTTTTCCTTCCTTCCCTTCCAAATCTAAGATTGGGACCTGGAATTAGGGCCCTGCAGCATCCCTCCCCACTTCACCCCAGGTCCCAGCCCAAGGTTATTACTCCAAGAAGAGGAGCCAGAAAGAGGGCTGTCTTAGCAGGTGAAAGTGATTCAAAAGGAAAAAAAAAAAAAACAGAGAGAAATGTAGCAGTAATGACTCCCTGGACTGCAGTCAATGGGAGGTGAGGGAGGACAAGGTAGGAAGGAAATGGGAGGAGGAAACAGCAAGGGACAAGCCCAGGGCTGCCGGGTCAGTGTATCCTTGTGTGGATCCCAGGACAGAGGGAAGCAGGGGTGAAGGAAGTCCCCCAGCATTAGCTGGCCTCCCTGTGGTCATAGAGTTGGTGGGTCTGAGCTGAGCAAGAGACCCAGCGGGTGGACACTTACACACAGATGTCTTCTGGTTGTTGTCTTTGCTTGGCATCAGTTTCACACCTCGAGACTTCAGCTCAATTTGCTTCTTGACTAGAGAGGAGGCAAGAGGAAAGTGTCTGAGTTGCTGTGTGTGATTATGGCTGAGATCCCTGGAGAATGGCTCTCTTTCCTGGTTTGGGATATTGCATAAGGGGATGAAATCTAGAAGCTCCTTCAGGCAGGGATATATCAAGGGGAGCTGTGGAGGACAGCCCACTGAGGGGAGGCAGAAAAGATGGTGTCCTCACCCATTTTTGGGTGAGATTTTGCCACTGGAACTACTGAGTGGGGTCTGGTGGTCTAAGAACTTCTCATGATAATCTACATGTGAAGCCTTGCAGTGTGGATCTAAGATGGACCCAAAGGCTCTGGGTTAAGGGCTCAGTCCCCAGCCTTTGTGGTACTACTTGGGAGATGATGGATTCTTTCTGAGGTGGAGGCCAGTAGAAGGCTGGAGGTCACTGAGAGAATGACCTTGAAAGGGATTATACCCTATCTCTCCTTTTGCTTCCTGGCTGCAATGAGGTGAGAGGCCTCCCCTGCCATATCCTCCCACCGTGATGCACAGTGATGCCACAGGACCAAGCAACAGAGCTGATAAACCATAGGTGGATACTCCCGAAGCCTTTTATCTTCTTGCATTGATTTATCTCAAGGATCTGTTATGGTAATGGAGAGCTGACCGAGTCAAGTCCAACCTCTGCACTTACATTCCTCTGTGGATTCTGCCCTGCCCCATTTCTGAGTCAGCCCTGATAGGGTGTGGTAAATGGGTTTACAAACCCAACTTGTTTTCCTTCCCTGATTCCATACCCTTTGTGATATGACTTTTATAGTTCTTCTCATTATAGAGGTGGAGTATATTTTCCTATCTCTTGACATTGGGCTTGGCCATAGAGATTTGGAGAGCTTGACATGTCCAAAGGTTTGCAAACCATCTGAAGGTTAAGCTTGCTTTCTTTCTTTTCTGCTATCACTGTGAGAAGTAATTTTTGGTCCAAGGAGAATGAGCAACATGAGGGTGGGGATGGGGAAGGCATAGACCATAGGCCTAGCTAGGCGGAGCCTGTAACAGCTGACCTTGTGGGCAGGGTAAACTAGGTCCTAGAGGTCACTAGAGGTGGGGGAAATGGTACTCAGGTGAGAGCCTAATGGATTAAATATGGCCTTGCCCTTGTCTAGTTCACAGTTCATCAGGACTTTGCTACATGGCACACCAAGTATACCAACGTCATAACCTCCATGATTCCAAAGGCTATTCATCTCTATCCTTTGCTCTAGTTATATGCCTTGGTGCATCTGTCCATCCTATGTCCCCTGTGCCATCCTTTAGCTGGCCTCTAACTACTGACTCAGCCCTGCTAAGACAGCAACCCAGGTATGGTGACAATTCTGATCAGCTACTTCTTATGTGCTAGGCCCTGGGTGCTGTGTAAATTCTGACTTAAATCTCTTCTACCCATGTAGGATCTCTCAGTAAATTCTACTAAATATATCTCAAGTGCAACCACTTCTCATAACCTCCAGATCCAAGTACCTGACATGCCTCACCTTGTTACAACAGGGGGCAAAGGGGCAAAGAGAACCTGTTAAAACATAAATCAGACCATAACACATCTTTGCTCAGAACTCATCAGCAGTAAGCCCTCACTCCTAGAGTAAAAGCTAGAATTTGAAATAGCCTGAGAGAACCAATCTGTTCTCTCCCTGGACTCTTTGGCCCTGCCTTTGACCTTGTTCATTCTTCTCCAGCCTTACAGGCTTCCCTGGTATTCCTGCAATATGCCAGCAGTCTATCTGGGCCTGCCCATTCCCTACAATTCTTTCGTCCCATGTGGATGAATGGCTTGCCGTGTTTTTCCTTGTGAAGTTATTGTGCAAGCCCTACTTCCTCACTAAGGCTTTTCTCTGAGGACTCCATTTATAAAACACTCCTAGTTCTCAGCTCTGCTGAGCCCTCTTTGTTTCAGCTCCCCAATTTCCTTAGACATGGTAGCATTTACTGGGTTGTTTTCATGACTCCATGAAGGCCAAGAGTTTAAGTCATGGCTGTAACCTCAATGCCTAGAAGACACAGTAAGCTTTAAACTTTAAACAATAGTAGTTATTATGTCTACTTGATAGAAAACAAAACTGGAGTTCAAAATGGCTCAGGTAACTGGTTGTGAGGCACACAGCCCAATAGCAGCTGTGTTGTCACTGAGCCTGAGCTTCTTTAGTGGTCTCCTCTACAAGTAATTCTGGGGCACTCCCCCAGTATCTGTCTATTCCCAGTACAGGCCTGAAAGCTTAGGTGCTTGATCTATACTAGGATTGGTGATATACTAATCCTAAACCAAAGCTCACAGTGATCAAATATACAGGGGTCAACTAGATTCCCCTACTTCAGCTAAATCCAAAGGGTACGTCCTTCTGAAAAGCCTACAATAAATGTCTGATAAAATTCAGTTCCCACCACAGAGTCCCAGCCTCCCAACATGCACTCAAACCTCTTTTATAAATGTGCACTGCTCTCTGTGTGTATCCAGCAGGAAAATTTCCAATGAACACTAACGTGGATGCATTATCAAACAGAGGGCATTAGTAGGGAAACATGCATTATTCAAACCTAGTTAATATGGTATGACATGGGGAGAAAAATCCCTGACTCAACCATCCCTGAATGAAGCAGAGCAGTGCAAGCACAGTGAGGCTCATTTGGGCCCATCTCTGATGCCCCAGGGGAGACGTGTGTGTGTGTGTGTGTGTGTGTGTGTGTGTGTGTGTGTGTGTGTGTGTGTGTGTGTGTGTGTGTGTGTGTGTGTGTGTGTGTGTGTGTGTGGTGTCTTTGTGGCCAGGTGCAGCCCATTGGAGATGGTTCTTTAGACAAGAAGTAGAGGTAGAGTCAGTCACCACGGTCTCCTGTCTCTACTTTGGGTGTCCACTGCAGGAGGGAGGAGGGAAAGGACCACAGCACCAAGGATGCCATTCTCAGGACACGTGCTACTTCAGGCTTCCTAGTCTGTGGACAACCATGAGAGCTCTTCTCCTCTTTTCCAAGTCACACTGAGCTAAAAGTCTTATTCCTTTCAAGAACCTGAAAGGAATTCCAAGTCCTTCTACTTCAGCTGTCCTTCCCTAAGAAGGATTGTCTAACTGTGGGTTTGATGCCTAATAGCCATTGGCTATCATCCCACCCAAGCTGAAACTAACATCTGTTTTTCCTCTTTTAGGAGGAAGTTTGCCAAGGTGATAACTTTCTGGGTGGAAAACTTCTAAGGGGCCCCAAATCATACCATCTTTGTGAGGTTTTACTCTTTTGAACTACGTCTCAGAGATCACATTACCCATGATGCTTTTGCTCAGCACATGCTCATCACATACAGATCTCAATTCATGGATAGAGATTTTGTCTTCATCACATTTGCCTGGAAAATGTGGAGCTTACAGCTCTTGTGTCTCCCCAAGAGCTCATATTATCAATACAATCTCTAAGAGGATGTGCATTCTGATCTAGTTGTCACAGGCATAGGCTCTGGTGAGGTGGGGCCTCCTCCAGCACACCCTGGAGGAGGTGATACATGAATGGGCTAGGGTTTGAATATGAAATGTCTTCTGTAATCTCAAGTGCTGAAGCCTAGCTCTCTGGATAGTGGTGGTGTTATTTCTGGAGGTGCTGCACATCTTAGGAGGAAGTGCATACTTGAGGACTGAGCTGGAGGAAGTCGGCCACCAGGGATCTTTGGGGGCTCTTCCTTGTCCCAGTTCCTTCTTCCTGTTCACCATGAGGTGAGCAGCTCTGTTCCACCAAATGCTCCCCACCACCATGTTCAGCCTCATCTCAGTCCACAGCAAAGGAATCAGTCGACCATGGACTGAAACCTCTGAAGCTGTGAGCCAAAACAAAACGGTCCTCTCATCAATTCATTTGTCCAGTGACAGGTCTGACTGCACAGAAAGCTAGTACCCGAGGGCTTGGATCACTGGTGGACAATGTCATTCAGGATCTTTGCAGCTGGTTTGTTGGAAGGGGCTAGAAGCGTTTGGGGACACAAACAAGAGTAAGCTCGGAACGGTGTTATGGGTATTTGTGGTAAGGGCTCAGAAGACCTGAATAGTGAAAGGAATGTGGATAGTGATGAGATTTCAGATGAGAATAAGGACTGTATTTGGGAACTGGACCCAATTGAGGTCATTTGAATTGCACTAGTGGCAAAGAACTTGTCTATAGTTCAGACTTTGAGGGAGGAATTTTCAGTTGTACTAATGACAGTTATATCATGTTAGGTTGATTACAATCTTGTTATTTTCCTTATTTGGAGACTACGTATGGTTTAGGTTTGGATGTCAAGTTGCAAGGGTCAGACATATGTTTAATCATGATTGTCAAATTAGTTGGATTGAGAGATGCCTTGGATGTTAGTGAAATTGCCTCTGGTATGTTTCTGAGGAAGTTTCCAGAGACCATTAGATAATAAGGATACTGACTTAATCCACGGGTTAATCCACTGATGGATTCCAAGTGTGTGACTGGACTATGGAATAATGGTAGGGAAGTAGAAAGTAAAGGTGGGGCCTCATTAGAAGGAATGGGTCACTGGGGATAAGCCCTTGAAGGCCCTGAGCACTTCTGGTTATTCCTTTCTTCTTCCCAATGCCTGAGGTGAGCTGTTTCCTCCTTCACAATTCCCAGTCACCATAGTGCTTTGCCTCACTTCTGGGCCGACATAATAAGAGCCTGTGGACTTTAGAGTAAAACCTCTGAAATCATAAGCAAAACTATCTTTCCTTCCTTTAAGTTGAAAAAAAAGGAAAAGCAGATCTAGAAGAGATGCATAAGAAAATGTGCTAAACACACATATACATACCCCCCCACACATAAACACACACACACAAATCTTATCCATCCATCCAGAAGAATTAATCTGTCATTTTCAGGGAAATGTACAGACCTAGAAAAAATAATTTTTGAAGTAAGTCAGGCTCAGAGAGAAAGGGCACATGTTTTTTCTCATATGTATAAGTTAGATATAACTGATTATAAACATACATAAAACATACAAAGGACCATA